TTTTGTTACTTGAAATATATTAGCAATGCTAAAATACTCGGTACATAAAAAGGAGAAAGGCAGTCTTATAGGCCCCTCTGTCATGATGTAAAAACATAAGGTATGTTCTTCCGGCGTGTTCAAATGTGTCGCTGTTTGCGCCTTCCACTCATCGGCCATATTGGAAGTACGATGATCTATTGTTTATTTCAAACATGCATATATATTACTCTCCGAGAACCTAATTTTTGACATGTTTACGATTTTTAAATTCGCTCTGTTTTAATTTGAAGTGTGATTGGTTAGAAATCCAAAATGGCCAACGAGTGGAAGTGTCCGAGTACAGATGGATGTTCAAATGGATGCGCAAGAACACACCTTATGTTTTTACATCATGGGATCGCCCTTCTATAAAGTTTGTTCGTATAGCACTCATTTGTGACTTACATACTTACAGGTTGTTCACATTGTTGACATTACATTCTATTGCATTTTATTGAATTCAAAGTTGGAGGGAATCTCAAGAAATCTCCGTTCGTGACAATTCATTGTTGATCGCTGTTCATTGTTGTTGTTAAGTAGTTTCATTGTTTTAATTAATCGTGGCCAGTTTATTGCTAGCGAGTAATCTGAACTCGTTATCGTTGAACAATGTCACGAATAAGAAGGCTTTCCATTCGTGGTATTCGTAATTTCGGCGACGGAGCCGAGGAAGCACAGATTCGTTTCTCCCGGCCTCTGACACTAATTTTCGGTCCAAACGGCACTGGAAAAACTACAATTATCGAAGCTCTCAAATATGCGACTTGTGGCGAATTTCCTCCTGGTTCAGATCGAGGAAAATTCTTTATTCACGATCCACATTTATCAGTGGCTTCAACAGTATAGTATTATTTGTTGTTCCCTTGTTGTTTAAGAAATCCAAACTAAAGCACTTGGAGAATTTTTCAATTCATTTTTATATATTAAATTTTCCTCCTAAATAGGTGCGGGGCGTTGTAAAAGCTGAAATAATTGATAGCCATGGTAATGAGTATACAGTGTGCAGAACAATATCCTGTTCAAAAACAAATACAGCAGTAAAATTTCAGACTCTTGATAATACATTCAGTAGAAAACTAAAGGGTTCTGATAAAGTATGTATTAATAATTAGTATACTAATAATTGACAATATATACACTTGTTATGGATAATGTTTATTTGATTAATAATTACTTAGGTGGTTTCAGTCACAAATCGATGTGCCGATATTGATGCAGAAGTCACATTGACGATGAACGTCTCTAAACCTATTTTAGAGTATGTAATTTTCTGTCACCAAGAAGATCTTAACTGGCCTTTCCTAGAAGGCAAGAAGTTAAAGGAAAGATTTGATGAAATTTTTGCTACTTCCACATACAACAAAGCTCTTGAAAATATAGCGAAATTAGTCAAAGAAACGAAACAGGAGATCCAAATATTACAAGAGCAAAGGAAGAATTGTCAGATGACCGTGAATGAAGTCGAAAGCAAAGAAAATAATCTTAAGGATCATAAGGAACGATTGGAAAGATGCAATAGCAAGATTGAAGAAATCAATAGAAAATTGGAACCTTTGAACAATAATATTAAAAAGCTGGAGGAGTTGTCTGCTCGATATAATGATCTGAAAGCTGAAGAAAGTGAGATTTCACCAATTACTATCAGTAACTTTATTGTCGCGTAAGTTTAAGGATTGCATAAATAACTATGTCTTTCCAGAAAAGACAAAGGCTGAATACGACATATACAAGCAACAATTGGAAAAACTGAAAGGAGAGATTAGAATGTACATATTTGAAGGAAGTACAGAAGAATTGTTAGACCATATAAGTTCATATAATGAAAAATCGGAGAAAAAAGATCTCGAAGTGGAAGAGGTATAATACTTTCCGTGAAAATAAAGTTGATATTCAAATTGATTTTTTTTTTTTTTGACGCATCCAGGCTGACAGGAAATTAAAAGATATTGCTGGCAATGAAAAGAAAATAACAGATACGTTACTTAATGAAAAAGTAAATATAAATTATGTAAAACAACAAATGAGAGAACAAGAGACGAAAATTGCACTTCGTAATACAATGTTGAACGAGGCATTGTCTGCTTGGAATCTTGACAATGCTGGGGACGATATATCAGAATTAGGTTTGAATATATGTTAATTGATGAACATACGAATTTCTGGATTCTTATATAAATTGAAATTTTTTAGAACTGGCAGTCCTGTATAGAAGATTGGAGGAAAAATTGACGGAATTGAACTCGACATTAAAAGAAAAGAAAATGCGAAGGGAGCAAGAGGAAAAAGAACTGCAAAAAGTAGTCGATGATTTCCGTAGCGAATATTCGAAGTTAGATTCGGAAAGGAGTCTCAAGGAAAGTGAAATAGCCGAGACAGTACAGGAAATTAGTGAAATCAAACTAGAACTTGAAAAGGTTGCACGATTTTTCGTTCAAAATGTTATTTTCATCTTGACATTATTTAAATCCGTTTTAATTTTTAGTTTGTGCGAGCAGCACAGAAATTAAATACTATTGAAGAGAAAATAAAAAAAATACAAGAGAAGATCGATCGATTAAATGAAACGATGGATGTGGATGCAGAGAAGATGAAATTATCTGAAAAAGTTAAGATTCGAAACGAAACTGAATTACTTTTGAACAAAGTCGATGAAGAAATAGCTTCATTATTAAAACTAAGTTCGCTTCAAGCTGAATTGGAATTAAATAAATCTAGCTTGTGCGATAAAGAGACAGAATTAGAGAAGCTGCGAAATAAACATGAAGATAATATGAAGGCGTTATTTGATATGAAAGAAATTCTGGAAATTAAGCTAAAATCTAAATTAGACATAGTTCAAAGAGGATTGGTATTTACAAATATTTTACATAAAACATGTTTTACTACGTAGTTCTATGTTCTTATCGTTAGTTTTATTACAGATAAAGCAAATAGAATGTGTCGATCGAGACATTGAGGCACAAGTACGGAAAGCAACTACGTTAGAAGCGACAGTATCGCATATTAAACGCGAGATAGAAAATAAAAAAGCGGACATAAACTGTGAGTTTAATACCTAGACATTTACTTATTGAACATGTGTATTATTACTTACAGCACACTTTTCCTTTCAGCGAAAAAACACAAAGTTGCCTTAATTTGTGACTATAAGAAGTTCGATGAAACGTTACTATTACAATCAAAAAGAGTGAAGGACCTTCAAGAGAAGAGGGGAATGTACGCACATCAAGGTGCGGCCTATAAAGAGTACATGAAGCAGTTGAAGGAACCGGATCCTTGCTGCCCTTTATGTCACAGAGATTTCAGCGAGATTGAAGCCGTTGCAAAATTATTAAGAGAAATGGAAAACGAAATGGAAAATCATCCAAATCGTTTACGAGAATGCGACAAAGAGTTGAAGATACAGCAAGGAAAATATGATCAGATGTTGCAATTAAAACCAGTCGTCGAAAGCATAATACAATTTGAGGAAGTTGAACTGGAGAAATTAACGTAATTCTTTTTATATTCCTCATACATTCGTTTAGACATACATCGCTTAGAATAGTTTTTAATATTTTCAATTCAATATTTAGAAATAATTTGGCGGAGTCTGAAAATGAATTGACTGTATCTCAGACAACTGTGAAACAATTGAAAACAACGAAATTGGAACCTGAAAAGAAGTTAACGATGTGTAAGAATATCATAGGTGATATTATGCTGTGGGACAGATACATTGATGAAATTTCTAAGCTAAAGAATACAATAGATAATTATCATGCTCGCATGGCTGCTGCAGGTATGCTAACAAAAATCCAAATTTAATGACAAAATAGGCAGGGGATGATCATTTCTTGGTTTTGGATTTGTAGGTATTGAAATGAGACGTGGGATTAAAGAGGCTCAAGCTCAAAGGGAAGAGTTAAAAGCATCTTTAAAAGGTGTTCGCGACGAGATTGAGAAATTGCAATCTGGCATAAATGCACATAAGGACGAGGTGAACAATGCTCGACAGGAGTATAATGCCTTGCACGAAGAACAGTTAAAAATAAGAGCTAATGAACAAAAAACAAAAGAGTTGAGACAGAAGCAACAAGATTTGTACGTAAAAGAAATTCGAATCGGAATATCACTTGATGTATTAAAAAAAAAAGTAACCATAGCAAAAAGTAAATTGAATTCAGCTATTGACGAATTGGAAGCTGGAAAGGTTTCTTAACTTCTTAGTATAGCAATATATTATTGCTTGAATTACACTGTTCTAAATAACTCTTATTTTAGAAAAAAAATTCGGAGCAACAGGAAATTGATAGACAGAAGCAAGCAGAAGAACATAGACGTTTTTCTGAACTACGGAAAGTACAGGATGAAATTGATGTTTTGCTACGTCGTGAATTTCCTAAATCTTTAAAATCTTCTGAATCAAAAATTGAAGAATGTCATAAATTGCTTAAGGAATTGTCTGTTGAAAAACGTAACTTAGAAACCGCAATTAACGATATAAAAGAAGAAATTGCGCGTCACGATGTTCGCAAAAGAGAATTATCGGATAATCTTAAATTCCGAAAAGCTGAGGAGACAATCGAAAAATGTGAGCAGGAATATTTAAAAATACAGCAACAAATAAAATCTATAAACTATTCAGATCTGAAGAAGGAATATGAAAGTTTACAGACCGAAGAACAATCTCTGTTACGCAACGTAAGGCATTTGATTCTTTGTAGCAGTTGTAACGTCCTGTTAAGATTTCAATTTCATGTACTTGACTGATTTTAGAGAGATAAATTAAAAGGGAATAAAGAAGAACTGAAGAGAACTATAGAGCAGTATACTCAAGAATTGAGGAAGGAAACATATAGATTGGCACGACAAAAGTTTAAAAGAGTGAACATCGATTTATGGGTAACATACATTAAAATCAAACAGTTCTTTTACATTTTTATGCCTATGATTTCATGTTCGTGAAAGAATAAATTTCTGATTAGGTTGCAAGCGATGTTGTAGCTGGTTTGGAAGAATACAATAAACAGTTGGATAGCGCCATGATTGAATATCATGAGAGTCGTATGATGAAAATTAACAAAATCATGCAACAACTGTGGAAAATTGTATATACTGGGAAAGATACGACGTCTATACAAATTCGTATGGATGCTACCCAAGGTGTAGGTACTCGAAAAAGAACCTATAACTATAAATTGGTTCAAGTGAAACACGGCCATGAAATAGATATGAAAGGTCGATGCAGTGCTGGTCAAAAAGTAATTTTCATTTATATGACAGTTCTCTTGCCTTTTGTAAATAGATTTCATTTTCTTATAACTCGATTCTACATCTCTAGGTTTTAACATCGATCATCATAAGGATTGCTTTAGCAGAAACATTCTGCAAAGAGTGCGGGATTCTTGCACTGGACGAGCCAACAACGAACTTGGACGAAGGGAACGCTGATAGTTTAGCGGCTGCCTTAGATATGTACGATTAACTAAACGATAAACTTTAATAGTTCTCCAACGTAAATATTCAAATTTTCAAATTCAATTAATTTTATGTTAAAGGATTGTTAAATTACGATCACAATATCAGAAGAACTTCCAGTTGGTTGTAATTAGTCACGATGAAAAGTTCCTACTGAAACTTGCTAAATTAAGTACTAACAAGGGCTTCTATCNTTAAAAATTTAACTACATCTTTCTAAAAACAAATTTTATCAAAGTATGATCGTTAATTTTATTGCTAGTAAAACTCTTTCAAACATTAACTCATGAATTTTGAAAAATTCACGTTCAAAAGTCAGTTTCAGAATTTTACCTCAATAATTCACTAAGGAGATGGAAAGGTATAAAATGTATATGTACAAAACTCAATATCTTTCAAGTTCCGTATAATTCAGCGCCTTTTTTTGTTCATGAAATATTTTTATTCTTTGAGCAGATTCTGAATTCTATATATAAGGTGTCCTAAAAAAAATGTTAGACTCGAAAAAGGGTGATTACGGAGGTGTTACTGTTTTACCAAAATGCAAAATGATGAGCCATGCTTTTTAAATTATTAACCTAAAATACTGACCAATAAGAGAGCGTATAGGGCCCGCGCTAATCCACGGCCGAGCGTCAAGATCCGAGCCAGCCTACCCGTGGCTGAACACGGGTCCTACGCATGCTCTCATTGGTCAGTGTTTTTCGTTAATAATTCAAAAACCATGGCTCATTTTGCATTTTACTAAAGGATATTGTTATTCAGAAACACCTCCAGAACCACCCCCTTTTAGCTCTAACACTTTTTCTGTATACCCTGTATATACGATAATTACCCAGTCAACCATCTGGTGGCAGAATGGGGCCAGGCTTATGGAGTTGTGTTTCTCTCATATAATAAAGGCGGGAACTGAGTAATGATAACTTATATATTTATCTCAGTCTTTTTGGGTAATTTACAGAAAAGGCCACAGCTGTGGTGCTATACAATACTTGAGCTCGTATCGCGGTACTCGTGTCTAGGAACTAACGATTGTTTTCGAGGGCGGCGCTGACGTTGGGTTCCGTCGGTAATAGCGGGCACTTGCTGCGGCTGAGCTGCCATAACCACTCCCTCACCAGTGACCTGACTGGTTACAGAAGGGAACGAAACTCTTTTGGTCGCTTTATTAGCTATTACTCTGGCATAGGTTCTGAGAGAAGGGTCCATCGATGTAGAACGATGCTCTGTAGGTACCTGCATTGAAGGATTGGGCTCTGGAGTTTGCTGCGAAGTAGATGGTTTATCAGTGTCCAACCTGGCGGTGTATGCGGGCTTCAATCTATCAACAGAAATTGCTTTCTCTGCGCCGTTGATGTTGACAACGAATACTCGGTCGTCTACTCTCCTTATGATCTCATGTGGGCCAGTGTACGGAGGTTCGAGGGGTTTCTTTACAGCATCCACCCTGACGAAAACGTGACTGCATGTATAAAGATCCTTGAGAATGAAAAAGCGTGCTTTTGTGTGGTGGGCGGTGGGAGTTGGTCGCACTCGTCTCATGTACTCCCGGAACTTCTCGAGGAAGAAGTTTGGATCTGCCGGTGGGTCCTCGGATGC